TAGTTAAAGAAATGGCTAAGAGGTATGCAGCTGACGCCAGCAGACGTGACCTGTTTTAAATTCATGATGTTAGTTTGATCCATTTTCTTATCTTTTGTCTCATTCAAGTAACTACATTGAGATTCAAAATGGTTTTATTGTCTTTTATACCTGCCTGCGCAACAAGGTATTCGATGTAGGTTCTGTTCGTTTTTGTTCAGCTAGCAGTGAAAAAATTGACGTCTGGAAAACTATATAGTGATAATATAATGAGAGTAGCGTCGTTGAATTCTTACTTTTTTAATAAACTTAACGGCGTTATTGTAACACGTGGAATGAACGCTGGAAACATCATGCGCAATGTTTGTGCAAATTGCTATATCTCAATATGTATAGCTATGGGATACAAAGTGCAACTGATGATACTGCTCAAACACAAATAAATGTTTCGAAACTATAACAAACACGAAGAAGACGTTTATCAAGTTTATCTCATAGGGTCAATAAAAATAGGTTCGAGAATAATCCTATTTCATAACACTTTCATAGTACCAAGTCACACGTACGGCCGTCACTTTTTTCGTTCTAATAACCTTCGCCCAATATACGCAAACGCCACGATGACGCAATATGTATTGCAATATGAGAGGACGTGTTGTATTGTTCCAGCGATGTTTGGCAGATTGAAATCAACTAAGAAAATTCAAACATGAACATATAATTATTAAAAATATAGACGTGCAAGTTTTGTTTACTATGCAGGTTCAAAAGTTCGCAGGTTAGCTTTGAACATCTGCACTTACTGATGAAATTATACAAAATTTATTGATAGAAAATATTGGCAAAGTACAAAATTTGTTCGTCCGTATAGTGAAGAAAGAAATTTTGACAATGTGGTCTGAGCGCTTGCATGCGTTGGTCAGCGACCCATTGTTCTAATAGCTATAATAATACAGCTATTACGTATAGCGGTCAGAAAACCAAATACTTGTCATAGAAATATTAGTGAGCTTAATTAAAGCAAGCGGCGTTTTTGTCAACACGGACGTTAGATGCTGAGGGGAGACTGGATGAAAAACTGTGTTTGTGTCAGTTTTTGGTAATATTCAACACATATGACAAAACGTAAGATTTTAAAATTTTTTTTTGCTTCCTTACACGAGCAGTACGATGCAAAATGCCCCCGAAATTAGTTCTACCAATTTTCACGTCCGTGTGGACAAAAACGTCGTTTGCCTATTTTTAAGATTACTACTGTTGTACGCGCACACGTGCAGTTGGCAAAGAAAATATATCATATTAAAACTTGTCGTAGAAACCTTGTTCGTCTGTAACAGGCTTAATACTTTCGTAATATCGTGATTAACAGTCGTGATACATTAATGCAAGATCCTGCCCGATATAAGAAGTACATATTAGTTCATCTGCGCCGTAGCACGAGAACGAATGCGTCTGTTTAATGGCCTCATTAACAGGACGATAAAATCTGACTTACAGTAGTAGTAGTACAGTTGAAGCTTTCTCTTGGCTAAGGGAAATTTCATTATAATATTTGTTTGCTTTTAGCGAAAAAGATAAAGTGTTAATGTTTTTGTCACCGGCCAGTGTATGGCTAAAATGAATAAAACATGTGCAGTTGTAATAACTTGATATCATAAGTAGCATTTTAGAATAATATGTGAAAGAAGCACGTCGGCTTTGCCATGAATATTTTGTCGCTTGTGTTACTGGCTTTAGTCTTGAAGAATTATAATTGACCTTACTATATATTACTAGTAATGTAGGTGGTTTTGGGGTCGGATTTTCAGGGCAACGCAGGGTCGGCGCATCATTAAAAATTCAGGGCGGCGCATCACTAAAAATTCAGGGCAGCGAATTATCATTAGCATAGAATGAGGTGGTGGATCTCATACGGGGTGCGTTCACTTAATATATGCAATGACGTCACGCGGGCAAGATCAGTTGAAATCGGGCAAAACTTGCTGACTAGACATTATTAGCGTCCCTCCACGTGTGTGATACTAAAGAGGGATTAACATTGGCTTACTATGAATAGTTCGAGTCCCTCACATCTTTGCTTATAAGGGATAAATTTCCACATGCATGTTGAAGCATTTTTCGTATGTTTACAAAATTATAGAGAGGAATCTATTCGTCACAAAAATCGAGACGTATTTTAAACAGAACAAAACAGTTGCTAATCCCGGGTTAACATGGTTGTCAACGTCGTTGTTATGGTCAATATTTGCATGTTGTTCAACATTATTTAGCAAACCTCCTACATACATATAGTGTTAAGATGGCCGAGTCAGATCATAAGAAAGCTTATCCAGAATACTTGAAGGAAAAATCTTTTAGAACAGTTGTAATATATTTTGTTCTGTCGCAATAAATACGTTTTAAACTTTGCAAATGTTGTGTTGTTTTGCGTTGCTAAGTCATTAGGCGACAAGGAGATAGTTAAGGGATTAGGCGAACAAAAAGTTACATAACTAAGTGTATTTCAATGGATAGATAGGGATTATTTATTAGGCAGGTGTATGCCTTAAAACCAGGCGCGAGGCTTTGCGGTATAACTATTAGGCAAAAATCCAGTTTGCAGCGTAATTGTAAAGTGAGCTAATTGTAACGTACATAAATTGGAAATAGAGAATGTGTTAGAATGTCCTACATGGTGGAAAAATAATCCTCTCGATAATTGATATGTTCAACATAACTTAGGCACAGAGCCGGCTCGAATGGCTCGGAGCCGAGCTCGAATGGCTCGTAGCCAAGCTCCACATGCTCGGAGCCGAGCTCGAATGGCTCGGAACCGAGCTCCATAACCTCTATGATTCAATGATTCAATCATACGATTCGATGATTCAAACTTAGGATTCAAATTATTCAATCTAGGATTCAATGGTTCAATATATGATTCAATTATTCAATTTTAGGATTCACTGATTCAATATTATGTTTCAATGATTCAATCTATGATTCAATGATTCAATCTATGATTCAAAGATGATGATGCATTTAATAGGTCAATAGGTTAGGTTTACGCTTGAGCGAGTTCCGATTAAATATAAAAAATTTCAGTTAATTTCTCAGCTATTATATTAAGCTTTATATTTTATTAAAGCTAATGTTTTTGTGCACCCTCTCATCGTATTTTTGAACTGGATTTGTATCGTGGTGTCAAGTTATTTTGATGTGCCTGGTTTGGTTTTTTGGATCGTATTACTATTGTATTATTATAGCGCTACAACTGAAAATTTTGGTTAATGAACAATATCTTTGTCGTCGTCTGCCATTTACGTCCGACTCTTGCTGTGTGATCTACGAATCGTTTTGTTGTTATTTTGTATAATTTTGGTGTTATTTAAATGTACTGTTCATGAATTTTTCAATTAATTATTTTTGACCGTTGCCGTTGGAACTTCTGAAATTTAAATCCCGTCTGGCGTCGCTCTCCATGGCAACAACTATCTTATGTAATGGAGTTTAATTAAATCAAATAAAAAGGTATTTCTACGGATACCTTGAACATAACTTGCCGAGTAATTGTTGGTTTTTCGTCAGTAATTACGCTGAATTTGGAGCCCCTCAGCACAGATCTAGAGTAGATAAGACATACAGAGACGTAACTGACCGTTGTAAACACTGCGGAAGATTACGTTATCATGTACCCACTTTTTTTCAGGCGACCGGGCGAAAAATGATCAACTGCGCGTGCTCGCCAAGTTTAAAGTGAGTCGTCATCAGGTCGTCATCCAATCAGATGCATGCATCTAGTAACTTGCACAAAAAAGTGGGTACACTAGTTACGTCTCTGTATGTCTCTACTCTGCATGTGCCCTCAGTTATCTATTCCGCATTCGCAAGCCGTGGACCGTTGGCTGACGAATACAAACAATCACCCCATCGCACGCGCTTAAATAATTTTGACGTGTGCGCCAAAAAGAACAAAATAATTAAACAAATTAGATCTCCTTATTGAGAATTCAACATGTTTTCACCTAAATATAGCTACACTATTTTCTTCCTGTGGATGATTTTACGAAGTAACCAAATTTCTGGAGAAACCAAAACGGTCGCTTTTTATGCAGGATCGAAAGTCGTTACGAATTTTGAGTTTATCAATTCGGACAACGTTGTCACGAGTGTTACGAATGCACAAACGAACACGATTGAAATTTTATACTCTTTTCTATTACGTCGCGTGTTAAAAACGAAACGCCAAAGACTGAAGGCTCCTTTACGTACTTCCCAAGTCTGCTGGTCTAAACGCGGACAAATCTATTTATCGCCCCCTGATTTTCACAAAGATATTGACCTTACTGTCTATATGGATGTAGAGTCTAACCCTGGTCCTGCTCAGTCCGATAATATAAATTACCGTTCAACCAACAATACGAACACGGCTAAAATCTCCTCAAACCAAGGTAACATTAAGATTGCTCATCTAAACATCCGTTCCCTAAAGAACAAAGAGCACTACCTACTGGCACAGGATCTGGTCCTAAAACAGAAATTTGACATTTTCACCATCTCTGAAACTTGGCTGGACACCTCTGTTACGGATACTGATCTTGAATTCCCGGGATATGCTCTGTTTCGACTTGATCGCAATGGTAAGAGAGGAGGTGGTGTCTCTGCCTATGTCAACCAAAGCTTTAAATGTGAGCCAATGCAAAATCTGACCTACATTTCGGAATCTGGTTTACATCAGTTATGGCTAAAGATACAAGTTATGAACTTCAGGTCATTTTTCATATACACTGCTTACCGTCCACCTGACACTAGCTTGTCTTGTTTTGAAACTGATTTCAGCGAAACATTAACGTCAGCTTTGTCCTTTAACAAACCGATCTACATTCTGGGAGATCTCAACTGCAATGTACTTGATGGGAATGATCCGGGACAATGTGCTATTTCTAATTTTTGTACTTGTTTTAACCTCACTCAGGTGGTCGATAATCCTACCAGAGTGACTGAACATTCTCGCACATTAATTGACGTAATTCTTACCTCTTCAGAAAATAATATCAAGCAAACGAAAGTCATCCCTAATTCGATAAATGATCATGATATAGTTATGTCAATTCTAGCCTTGAAGAAATGTCGTCCAAAGCCTGGTTATGTCTCCGTCCGAAGTCTCAAACATTACAACAAAGATTCTTTTTGTGAGGACATATCTAATGCTTCGTGGTCCGTCATTAACAACTTTGAGAATGTCAATGACTGTTTAAATGCTTTTGACTTACTGTTTAATGAAATTCTGGATCAACATGCTCCAATTAGAAAGGTTAAAGTAAGAACTCGTCCAAACCCCTTCGTGACAGAAGAGATTCGAAGGCTAATAAAAACTAGAGATCGATGGAGAAAACTACAATCCTGGACAAAACCATCTGCGACACTCTATTAAAACATTCCTTTGTGGCTTTTTTCACCAGTTAGACCGGAATAATTTCCTCGTTTGCCCCCCTCCGCCCCCCAAAACAATGTTG